CCGGCTTCCCGCGCGCCTCTGGCCGCGACCGCCGAGCCCGAGCCTCTGCGCGCCGCGCTCGCCCCGGCTGGGGTTTTCCCCCTCCCTTGGCGCGTTCTCCTTTCCCCCCTCGCTCTTTGCACTGGGGGGCTCTGCTTTTGGCTTCGCAAAGGTCCTGCCAAGATGCTAAGTTGGAAATTGAGGATCCTGACGCCCTGTGCGCGCCCGAAGCTCCTCCTTCCCGGGGTGTAGTCAGTGGGAGGACTGGCAGGAGCCTCTGGGCGGCCGCAGCCAACCCGGCCGCCAGGCGCGCCTCGCCCTCTCCCTCTTCCTCCCCGGCTCCCTCTCCCGCTCGCTGGCGCTCCCCTCGCCCCTCCCTCGCGCCCGCCTCCCCTCCGCGGCCCTCCCCCTCCTGCCCTTCTCCCCCTCCCGGCCCCGGTCTCTCTTCCTCTCTTTCTCTCAGACTCTCGAGCGCCGGCCCCAGGATGACAATCACATCCCAGGCGCACCGCTCTCTTCCAACTTTCCTCCCCTGCTAAGTCGGGGTGGAGCAGCGGTTCCGACGCCAGGCTGGCGCGGGTCACCGGTCCGGCCGCCCGCAAGCACAAAGGGAACGAGGCCGCGGCCCGCGAGCCCGCGAACGCTCTGCCCTCTCCGCGCCACGGAAGATCTCGGAGTTAGCGGATTTCTTGCTCGCCGGGAACCCGGACTCCGAGGCGCCTGCTGCCCACTAGACTTTGGCTTCTGCCACGAGTCGGGGGCCTCGAGATCTGAGAACGCGGCGGAATGAAGGTCCCTGGGAGAGCCGATGGGTGCCCGCGTGCGGGGCGCCCGGAGTCCGGGGCGACTGTCCCCTCTCGCCGGCGGCGGCAGCAGCAGGTGGGCGAGAGACAGGCCTTGGACACCCGCACACGTCGGGTCCGGCCTTCCTCCCACCAGACCCCCAGCCGACGGCGAGGGAGGAGATACTGGGGGCCCGGGACGGCTTGGGGGTGCTCTTCTCTGCAGGGGAGGTAGATAGAGCGCAAGAGCTGCCAGGCGCAGCAGCAACGGCACTAGAGTAGGTCTCCAGCTCCCACTAGCCGCCCCCACCGCGGCCCGGCCTCGAAGCCTCTTTCTCGGGCTTTCCACGGGCAGGTCGCCCGGCCAGGCCGGTGTGCGCGCGTGTGGGGGGCGGCCCCCTCCCCGCCCCACGCCCTCCCCCGCCCCACGTCCCAGTGCAAACACTGCGGCGCAGCGGCCAGCCCAACGCAGCCACTGTTTGTTCAGGCAGACGCTGAGCAGGCACACACACACGACCGCGTCCCGCGCCAAGGCCCACGAAGGCCACGCAGTTAAGGTCAAACGGAGCCTCCGTCCGCCTCACACCTCGCGCCGCCACCAACCCAAGGCGCTCGCGAACTCCGGGACAGACCGGGGCGCAGGGGAAACTGAACAGGGGCGGGCGCAGAGCCGGGCGCCCCGCTGGAGCTCAGCGGGTCCTGGGGTCACGCGCAAGTCGAAGCAAGTCTGCGCACAAAGTTTCTCGCCATGGCTTGGGCGGGCTGGAGACACTCGACTTCCCCAGCTCCAGACCCCGCACCTTCACCCGCGCACGGCCCCGCACC